GCCGCTGTTGCTCGGTGCTTGCAGATTCTTGTGTTGTAGCGTCAGTGCGGTTTAAACGCTGCAGAAATTCCGGAACGAGACAACAACATGAACGCCGGTAAGTGGTTGTTCTGTTCTGAAACTACTGCAAAGTGCGGAAAAAACTGGGTGTTTGCAACGTCAGAGAAATTTGTATGTCTCGCATCACCACGGATGAGTTTTCGGCTTTCGATATTAGCCGCGAAACTCCCGATCTCAGTATCAATACAATCGTCCAGCAATTTGACACCACCAGTTACGTTGTTCATCGGGTTTTAAAGCAGCTAACATGTCGACGATATGGTGTACTTCCAACAGAAGCGTAGCATATGGGGGACGAAGGGGAGGTCCGTCCCGAGCGGCATGTGACAGGGGGCGGCATTTGTAGTACGGTTGATTGTTCAATAAAAAATATAAAGGGAAAATTTTACAGATAAGCTGTGGGTTGAATATTTTTATGTTACTCTGTGTGACTAACGAAACCTTTGAACTATGGGTCACACTTGTGCAAACGTTCTTCCCGGCGCTCTGCTTACTTTTCCTATCGTGGCCAATTTCACCACATTTGCTTCATTGTCCCAAACGATCATCCAATTCATTGGAACCTATGTACACTTTACCCTGAGCGGATTTTGAGGGATTATGGCTTTACAGTTGTCATAAAGGTTGAAGATTTTACCACCGCTCCTGGCCGCTAATTTAGTTGCTGCGCCACTGAATTCAAGTGCAAGTTGTGAGCCCCTGTGAGCTGGAAGAGCTACATGTATTTAGCTGCTGGTGCTTGGATCACATGGATATCTCTTCCTTTACTTCTATCGATGAACCTGTGTCCAATTTGAATAGAATAGTGAAGCAGTATTATTGGGCAGTATCTAATGCACCATGTTACTGAGCTTCACGTACGCAACACAGAACAAAGCTCATGATTTGGACTGGAATAACTGGTCGAAAAATAGTGATCCCATTTTACTTTTCCAGCATTGTGACCGGTAGGTTGATTTTGTACATTGCTAATGCCATGCCTTTCATAACCTAGTTTTACCAGGATACAATGCAGACCTGCTTTCACTCGTAATTGGGTTATGCAGTACCACTTGACGGCAACATGATAGCGCACCTGCGCTTTATGTCCAAACGGTTCTTGATTATCGGAGAGGGATTTTCGGCCACCAATGGATCGGTCCAGACGGATCATCAGAATGGCCTGCCCGATCACCCTATTTGAACTCTTGGCATCCTTCCCATAGGGTTATTTAAAAAGAAGGGTTTATAATACAAAACGGATGCATTGGAACAGCTGAAAGAGAACTTCATGAACGAATGTCGGGTCATCACCGCGGAAACATTGGAGAAAGTGCTTGCAAACTGTCTCAGGCGATTTCTGCACTACAAGTAGAACGCCGGCGACCACTTTGAACACCTACTGCGTTGTTGTTTATATCACCAATGAATTTCATCCACTTAAATACACGTACCTAACTACACATGTTCATCGTCCTTCGAAACGCAGCCCGGCGTTAGGGTTGAACTAACGGTTTCACTGTACCGTCTATTTTTCAGGGCGAGCGTGATGTCCCGCAGGCGCCACATGCGGCGGAAATTAGCAACGGTGACTCGAGCGCTTGCTATACGGCTGGTGATCTCGCAGAAGACACCACCGTGTAGCAAGTGAACAAAAGAATAACGCGAGAATAGGCTCCGGGGTTAGAAACATTGTGGCGTTGGATGAGCAATCCTGAAAAGCAGCATACTGGTGACACTCCTGAAGAAGAAACACGAAACGCAATATTTTCCGACCAGTTAGCCACCAAATGAGCTTGTATGGTGGCGCCTGAGATACTGGTCGGTAACGATGACACGTAAGAGAAGGGTCAAATACAGAAGCTGGGTGCAGCTGGGCCCAACGTATATTGGGCAGGCTACAGTTAATGGAAAACGAATCAGCAAAGGCTGCATGCGTTGAGCACAACGACTAATGCAATGCTGATAGCAGTTGAGCACACCACAAAATTGACGGAGGTGCTTCAATGGCCTCGGGACAGGGAACTCATGATTGCCTGGATCTTTTCAGGAATAACATCCGTACCCGACGATGAAACGAAGTGACCCGAAAATTCTACCGTTAACTTGCCGACTTCGCACTGAGTCGGGTTGACTGTGACACTGCGTTGGATCAAACGCTGGAAGTGAGAAAGCAGCTAGTCGAACCAACATAGAAGTGAATAGGGGGGCGCGATCATTCTAAGCAGTCTCACAAACAAAGCTGGAGCAAGCAGACGAGATGTCCGTTTGCGGTGAGCGCACGGGTAAAGCCAGGAGTGCTGGAGGACAAGAGGACTAATGTTGGTTTCTTAGTCAAAAATACTTTCCACAATAGGTCAATCACTTACCTATTTTGATGCCATCTCCGCTATTTCGACCACACTCTCTCGTTTAGAGACGCAGGCCAAACTACCGTTTAATCGCAGAATTCCGTTGTCACTAACCAGCGTAAAGTAGGAAGGAATGTCTACAATGCTCAATATATCAATTTACTTGATCCGATTGCATACGGTATTGGTGACGGTTTCCTCAGGTATATCTGTATGCGGACCCCATACGAATCCCACAGGTCAAACCTGACCGAAGTAGGCAAAACACCTCCCGGGCGGAATGACATATTCACCATGGACATTCACCACAGCTGATTGATTGCAGCCCTGCAAGTTGCTTACAAATGAAACGACACACCATAACCTCATCCGCATTCCTGTTCATTCTGCAATCACACACACCGTAACAACTAGCGCAGGCGCATTAGTTCGTAGAAAAAAAAACATTGAATTACACGTCGCTGGTCTCATGCGATTGGAGATGATGGCGTCTGGGGGACCACCGTTAGCCAACAGAAAAGGGTAGACTGGCTAGATGCTCGATAACTGGATGTGTCCACGTTAGGAGGCAGAAGTGAAGTAAAAGACCGGATTGATAGTGTGGCATTGAGGCAAATTTTAGCTGGACAGCTTATGCTTCTATATTGAGTGACGCGGAGCTCCTGATACGGGTCATGTACCACATGTTGTACTGTAGGTTTCCCTACTATTCGTCCCTGAGTTAGGAAATATTCTGCTGAATTACGCAGTCACTGAGGTCTCATTGGTTGACGACTGGTTTCGTGCCTTTTTCGGCCAGGCATCCTCCATAAAGCAACTTATCGCATGAAAGTAGACTAGTTATTGTCATACATTCCGGAAAATGGTTCCCCTCGGGTTCTTCTGCGCGTAGACGGGTAGCTCGTGAACCAAGTTGACCGTAAACCGCTTGGTTACGGTAGAAGTAGGCGAAGCTGAAAGCTGGGCAACGACTCGCTGAAACTGAGCTCCAGTTTTGTTCGCGCGAACGTAACAGGTAACTTTCCAGGGGCCTGTAGTTGGTCTTAATTACAATTAGCTTAAATTTCACATTGTTTGCGAGTATACCATCTGTTGTTACACATACAACTGTGCTTTTCATCAGCAGCTTCACGTACATCAATCTCAACATGGTAATGCAGCGCAGGCGTAAGTCGTTTGATTTTCAGTGCACTCGGGTGGAGTTTGTCTGAGCGACTATCAATGATTGAGCTGGGGTCTCGTTCCTGGACGCACAAAACGTGCTCGTGCTTAATGATGTTAATTTCTAATTCAGCAGACGATGAGAGGACTGGTCCGCTTGGTATACTTTTAGTTGCGTCGGATGGACTGTTGGATTTAGACACCAATGGACAGCTATACTCCTGAAATCTCTTATGGAGTCGTATCAAGTAACAGTAATCTCTCTTAGATTGCAAGCCTAAAGTAGAATGCGCATCACAGGAATCAGTGGATGTCTGTCCATTTCATTGAAGATGATCAAACGTTTGCGACCTGGTTATACGTTAGTGCATTGCAGTGGCTATTCCATTACTATATATATATATATATATATATATATATATATATATACATATATATATATAGGATCCGTTGTACAGATATAGTGTCATCGGAAACCTGAAGGCATATGGAAACAGCATATGAATACGAAAAGAGCAAGTAACAAATGTTGTCCACTTTTCCACTCGCCGTTTTTGCGTTTTTTTTGCGTTTTGTTTTATTAAGGGAAAGAAAGAGCATCACGGTAACACCCAGAGATACATGTCTGCCACTGGCGTCCGTCTTGAGTCATAATTTCTAGGATCTCCAAACAGCGACAGTTCGTACCTCTGGGACCCCAACCAGGGAGGCGACAACAAGCGGCCGAGGCAGACTGATTCCTCAGCATTTTCTTGTGACTTCTCCAAGTTGCAGACTGTCCAACAGACCGTCTTTTCCAGCCCTGTTCAGCAATCCAAAAATACACACGACGCGTGTAACGCTGGACAGGCATGCGCAATACATGTCCCAGCTACCGCAGTTGGTACAGTGATCAATAAAGGAACCAATAAGAGGCACTCACCAAACGAAGTGGGAGAGCATTAGCAGCCAAGTGGAACAGTAACGCAATAGAAACCGCACTGGATTTTTTAACTGAATCACTGCCCTTTGTACCTGTTTATTTTATGTTAATTAGCTACGATGAGACGAAGATTCGTTAAACTGTTTGAATATTATACCTCCCGTTTGGCTTGCTGGTACTGCGCATTCGTTGTTTGTACAAAGCTACTTGTTATAAGCAGTTCGTATAAAAAACGATTAATTGTGCTATTTTATTTCATCATGCTGTCGGACAGCCGGAACTTGACTCCTTAATGCTATTGCTACGCATATGGGTGGGAGTCGCAGAGATTACACTAACAATTCAACACTCAGTCACGTAGGTGCAGCTCGTTCAGCCTCCAGCATCTAGATACACTACACCAATCAACTCAACGTTTCGCCGTTTCCCCCATTCGCACACAGGCCACTCACTACTGGCCTTAGATTGCCTACATTATTTGGGCCATCCTCAGATTTAAATCCTTAATCCCATCCTCTCCACTTCAGTACATTCTAAAATGGATCCAAGAGGTTCAGCGACTGCATCCTGAAGCCATATTTGCCGTACTTCTACCACATCCATTGGAGTACGCTCGTGTTGGAAGTTGTTGGTAAGTTACAGCTCGGTTCCTCGGTTAACCTACTGCTCCCCTAGTGGAAAACTGTATACCTAAGATTGTCTGTTTTCCGCACTACATTATGAACAAGGCTGTCCTTACCACTGTTATTCAGCTAGGTGGCAGCACCGCCAAACGAAAACTCTTCATTCACCTTGTCAGCCAAAGTTGATCGAGCCCTAACATAAAATGCTGCTACTTTTCGGGAACGCACTTCAACTTTCTCTTCGCTCACCAGTTTGCGCATTTATGTTCATTTCGGATTAAGTCCTTCCACTGAAATGTCCCAAAAATGCCTTATGTCAATCACATGAACACTGTGTTTCCAGGCAGATTGTACATTGGGTCTGCATGATCTCGCCTGCTGATCGGAACTTGATTGCTTTCAGTTGGAACGTACAAGTGAGACTGAGCTCCCGTTTACATGAGGGGAAATAATATTGATTATTTCTTGTTACGCATCATTTCATTCACTTAATTACTGTACGTATGCAACCCCACTGCCTGTGAAATATCTGGGACTATAAATAAGCCACCAATTTCAGTGCTTTGATTAAAAGACTATGGTAGGAAGCCACAACGCTCCTGTTATTGGCTTTGCGGTAATCTGACCTCACGCTCCACCACCGCAGCTATTATTCAGCACCGGGAGCACTTCCATTCACTTGGTTCCAAAGTATGCCAGTTATACATCTCAAGCATCACCTTTGCTCGTTCAGGAGCTACTGATCCTGTTACCTAACCAGTACAGAAGTACGTAGTGTAAAGCTATTATCCTCGGAGTGGACAAGCACTCCATCCCGGTCAAGCACTCAACTACACTTTATCCACCCCTCTGCCTTATCTGCAGCACAAAACTGTTTAGGCACACTGGTTGCATCTTTGCTTCGGTTGTTATCTCCGAGTTATCACCTGTAATCCCAATATAACATATTTGCTCAGACTTGGAATCCGATTAGTGGCAGAAATTCCATCTTTTATAAAGTTATTAGTTTACTTTCTTTTCACCGTGTGTTATGGTCAAATATACCTGCCTCCCCAGTGAGCAAATTACTTTCTCTATCTGACTTTACCTGAACTAGCTAAAATGCAGCACACTGAAAATCGGCTTGTGACGGTGCGTTTGGTATCCGTTGCACAAAATTCGTCATGTGTCTAAACCTTTTCCTAAACTGTATGAAGCCTTAGCTTCACATAGTAGTGACGTATCACAAATAACCTACAGATAAACGATCATTGTCCAACCTTGCTTGTCGATTCAACCCTTTAGGGATACTTTGTGCAATCGAACAACCCAGGTCAAGCAAGGATTAAGTAGGCTCGGAAGCCTAATTCCCTACGACATTATCACCTTTGAGGTAAGCCATCTAGTTGGATGTTCACAAAAAGTCCCTACATAATTTGTCCTTACTATGATTCCAAGCAGAAAATTCGGAAGACGTAAACTGTAAGATGACTCAGTTATTTCGTGTAAGCTCCTCAGTCCCAAATCGGTCCTAAATCATTGATATATAGAACGCGGTCATAGGCGATCAATGGCTAGTCAATCGTTACCCAATCGTCACTCCTCACGCTACAACAGTAGACTAAGTTTCATAGTCGACTCTTTCTGCACACAAAGCAGTGGCCGTTCTCGATCGATAACATTAGGTTCCAATAGCCGGAGAATGTGAGGCCGCTGATTGCGCATCAAGGCGGTGAATGTATCATCGGGATTGACTCGGTGGCCGATGCTCAGTAAGTGCCTTGTGATTGCCGAGGCAGGTCGATTTCTTAACTCAGCTGATTCAGCCGTCACCGTCCGTCCGGTTGCGTAACCACGTAGTAGAGTGTTCACTGATCCTGACATCTAAACATCAGTTAGTGCGCCCGACATAGCTGTCTCCGCCTTCCATTCTTCTTGTAGTTTGGAATGCACTGGCTTCAATGTTGCAGCAGTGGAAATTGAAACACATCACGAAACAATAAAGCAGAATCAATACAAGATTCGCGATTAATCACGCCCGACTTGCGGGTTTTGCGTGGATGATGATGTTAGATGTAGTCACCTCAACGATTTCCCGTTTGGTACGCATTGTTAGTAGTTTAACCGAACCTGGGTAATCACAAGAAACAATTAATACACTATGCTCCATAGACCGAGGTGCGCCGGGCCCAGTTGTCCGCACTCCCAACATCAAATAACAACTACTAATGATCACCGATTTACGTCGTGAGATATAATGGATAAGAAGCAAAAATGAGGTTGGAACTCAAGTGCCACTGGTCCAGTGGCTTCACCTTATCTGATAGGTTTTGTCAACGCGGTCGATCCAAATCTCCTGTCCAGGAAAAGATTAGGCACTAACCCTGCTTAACATTTTCCTTCAGGTGAACGACTTCTTGACTTGCAGTATGCTGGCGATATTTCCCTCATCTGTCACAGCTCAAAAACATGCCAAGTGGCACTGAACAGATTAGCACTAGCTGTCACTCGTTTCAGGCTATGCTTTACACCCTCCAAATGTAAAGCTTTCCCTCAAGATTGGCAGGGACTGCCTGCTACCTTGACCCTTGGTGGGATCAACTAGAAGTCGTACAAAAGTTCACCTATCTAGTTGGGTGAATCACCGTCGTTGGGATTGAAGATGGGGTCACAGACCGTATAGCAAAAGCTCGAGACGCTTTTGCTAACCTTCGCCGCCTATTGCGCCGGCGCGACACCATTCTCTCCCTGAAAGGTAGAGTATACAATGCAGTCGTAGGTTCGACCCTACTGTACGATTGTGAAACCTGGTCCCTTAGATCAGTGGATATAAACAGGCTAGTTATGTTCCACCACCGGTGTCTTCGCAGTTTGGCTGTTTGGTGAGAACAACGTGTGAGCCATGAGCGCGTTCCACACCTTGTTTATGGCGTAGGAAGAAGAATCGAACAGTTCAGCACCGTCATTTCACGCATCAGGCTTCGATGACTGGGTCACTTGTCGCACATGCCTGCTCACTGACTTCTGCGACGTGCGTTGTTTGTGCGCCTAGGGTGCGGATGGAAGAAGAGGAGAGGTGGCCAAGCGATGAGTTGGTCAAGAGAAATGAATGCCCTTACTTCGAAATTGGTCTCCGTTGGAGCCTCTCGACTCCCTGCTTGGAGACCGAAAGACGATGAACACGTTAGGTTGGATACACTTCTTAACATGGCTAGGTGCAGACATCAGTGGCGTTTGTGTTGTCAGTCTTTTTGTCCATAACCCTCCGCTTAGCCTCCCCCTCCAAACACGCTCTCAATTAATAGGCATTATATGACTTTTTGCGGCACAATGTCCCTCCCTTACTGGTGACAGCCAGCGTGCCACTGTCTCACTTTTTTTCTTTGCTTTTGTAGTGCGCACCATGGCTGGGGAGTTTTCCACCTACAGCTAGCGTTTATATTAATAATAATTAATAATAATAATCTTTAAAAGGCTCTACTGACCTTAGGCAGTGATCAACCCAGCTTCATTTGACTAGCAACTCACCGCAGCTCTACCGTTGACACTGGTCTGGTAGCCTTATTTCATAAAACTAGCTTAAACTAATGGGGTTAAGGTGCTGGCATTTAGATACTCTAGCTTTATGAAGAAGGCAAGCTACTTCCATTTTAGATTTCAGATATCACGGAAATGTTTGAGTTCTGATAATTAATCAAAATAAACTTGCTTTTGGCTGGTAAATGCTGGGTCAAAAATCCTTCGGATATCTCCGATTGCAGCGACCAGTCAACTTCAGCTAGATGCGACCTAATGGAAGCGGGCGAGTTCAGTTCAGTCTGCAGTGAAATACAAATGCACTGTATAAGTCAAGCAGTTGTAGGGCCGCTAAAATATGCATCTGACACTTGTGAGTGTAGCTAAACTCGTTTTCTACTCTGGTCTACTGTTGCAGAGTAGACATACAGATGGGGATATAGAGAGATGGCGCCGGACCACTATTGACAAACACAGCAGTGGGTACAAATGAAAGAAAAGGGAGACAAAGGCCACTACGAAACGACCAGTACAGCCAGGCATGGAAATAAAACCCAGTGTACAAAAACCATGGCGGTTGTATCCAGTACGTATTGACCGCTGAGGGGTATTGAAAAGCAAGTGCAGCGTGAACAAACACCTTTCGCGTTGGACAAATGCCAGACTGGCTTTGAGAAGAATAACTCGTACACAGCTGCATTCGCTTTTGACTGCAAACATAGTGGTACACGGTATACAAAAGAAGAGGTAGGCAACCCGCGCCGGGATACCGGAGAGATCCTCGTATGCTTGCAAAGGCTGAACACACTGTCCTTTGATATTGGCATTTGAGGATGTCTTTTTTATTTTTTGCCACTTTTGGTGAACCATGACCTCGGTCTTTGGTGACAGGAGATTCGGCTTCTTGGGCCCTCAGCTAGATAAACAAAATTCCATTCAAGTGATTAGGGGCTCCAGAATTGAACTTAAGAGTGGCTTTGGGATACGGGAGTTGTAGGAAAAGGATCCGGTAGGATAGATCGCAGAGTTGGTATAGAACTTCCCGTGTCCGCGTCGTCATCATCTTTAAAGACAACTTTGGAGCCACCGCAATTTATGTTCTCAGCATCAAAGCCGTTGGCCACTTTCTTGGCTCTTATCACGACTTGTTGAGTCAGATGTCGAAGGCATTCGTTCACCATCACCATCATCATCATCCATCATCATCCATCATCATCATCATCCATCATCATCCTCCTCCTCCTCCTCCTCCTCCTCCTCATCATCATCATCATCATCGTCATCATCCTCCTCCTCCTCCTCCTCATCATCATCATTATCATCATCATCATCATCGTCGTCATCATCATCATCATCAACAGCAGTACATCAGCCATTTGAACTGATGCTTCGCTGCCATACAACCACGGTGACTTATGAAATAAAGAATAAGAAGAGAGAGAGAAGGGGGACTTACCTGAAAACTTTAATGCTCTAAGCAAACATTCAGGGTCAAGGCACCTACACCTTGTGTAGACAACATACCGTCACAAACAGCTGGCTATCGTGCAAAGATAAGGCGGCATCGGTGAGACAGCTTCCTTGCGGCTTTCACTGCCCCGCGTCATAATCAGCCATTACCCCGCAGATAACTCAGCACCAAACACACTTTAAACAGGTAATCCGATTAGGAGACGGCAGCAGACGCGACACTGGTGTCTACTGCGAGCCATGTCCTGCAAAGTCTCGAGCCAAGCACAAGGCGAGTCACGTGGACTCCTGCCCGGAAGACGAGACGGACCAACGGCACCCGCTTTGGTCGTCAGTAACTTCATTCCACGCTGCCAAGTCAACTTCTGTCCACCTCGAGCCTTGCGCCACCCTCGATCTGGTAGACTAAACAAGGGCCTCCTAGTTAAGCAGTGACCAGGCATACGTAGCACGTGCCCAAGCCAACGCAACTTATTCAGTACTATATGTTGTTCTAGAGAGCGAGTATGATTATCACCACTTAGTACTCGCCTACGCACATCGTCGTTGCGGACAGGCTGGTGCCATCCGACACCAGCAGTGCATTCGTTACTGACACACGTGTAGTCACTATCAGGACCAAGGCGCTCTAGGCAGATAACGAACCTTAGCATTTAGTAGGTTAAAGCAGACCGAAAATAAGTCCGGTAGATATATACGACTACGAGAGATGAATTGCGCAGTTGTCAACCATCCATTAATCACTATGCTGGGTATCGGAACCGGTTGTTGCTGATGTGTTGGACTTTCTTGTTTATTGATGTTCTCACTTGTTTGCATCGCAGGTGTGGGATTTCGTGATGCCATACTGGTTGGAATCCATAAGGACCGAAGTGCCACGCGCTGAATATTTCGAATTGGAGGTACTTTTGAAGTGAGCTACTCGGTTGTTTAAAGACTATCGAAGCAGTTACAGGCATTTTGAATGTACATTCCCCCAGTACGCTGTCGTTTGCAGGCAGGCAGGCTGGGACAACTCGCTTCGGCATTGTGTTTTTGAACTAGAAGCAGAAGCACTCCACAGTTGCGTCCCTCTTGAGTGAGGGTGTACCTATTAACTGATGAGGAAGAAGGTTATCTTAATCGATCATATAATGCAACACTTAGTGTTAATTGGTCGCCTACTTGAGTAATAGCCTTTACGACACCGTGGTGGCTGTATACTCACTAGTAGGTGGCCAATCTAAAGCTATTGACCTCAACGGCAACATTCTGCACCGATACATAGTTAACCCTGTTTACACAGGCGTTCCACTGAGTTGAGTGTGTGATCAACGCTGCACAGCTGAGCCTGCAGCTAAATCCATTTACGGATCCAAATAAGAGAGACACCGATCTCAATGTGCAAGATGGTGATCAAACATCCCTACACGTTGTGTTTGAGCTAAAACCCTGTTATCATAAGTGAACCCATTCCCTTTATTACAGATCAGCTTCATAATTAAAATGGACGGATAAGTCAGTCAGTGTCATCAGAGATAAGATTATCCCGACAATATCTATAACTTGCCAAAATCCATAACTGCAATCGGACTATGCATTGTTCCGGCCAAACTGTGTGGAGTTAAGAACTGAACACTGAATTTATCACGCATAAAAAGCAAAAGTTTAAGCATTCCCGTAAGCAAAGAGTGAGACCAAAAAGTGGATACATCAGCAGAAAGTAACATGTATCGGTTGGCTCACTGCAACTTTCATGTGTGCTCACAGTGTGGTTACGTTGTCCCATGTCCCAGTTTCTTGGATTAAGTCATGTAATGTAGGCCGTTAATGCATCGTCAAGTCGAGTTTTGAATTCCGCTAACGTAGGAGCGAAGATGACAGAACGCGACAGAACGTTCCATGGCTAGAATACACGAATGGAGAAATATTCCGGCAGATTTCCAACAGGCCATGTTGTGTAACCCACTTCAGATGGTGGTATCTCATTGTAGTGTTGTGGCCGATTAACAATACATGTCGGTCAGGGCGGTTTGGATCTTTGAGGATCTGCTAGACTAATATGAGATCACCCCGTAAACAATGGAATTGCTCACGGAAAATTCCTGGAGGCTTTAGTCTCAACTGGTACTGGAGATAGAACAAGTCCTTAACCTATTTAGTCGCCCTCCGATGTGGGTTCACAAGAGCAACGAGACCTCATCTGAAGGATAAATTCTACGTGTCGCTTCATCTAAATGTTGAGTGTTCGCGAACAAAGATGGAATCGAATCGGTCAAACACCCTCCGCATAGGCCCAAATGTTGGCTAGGTTTTCCCGCCGCTTAGTTGGTCTGCCTTGAGCATCCGAGATCATTCTGTACGGGCATTCCGAGATTATTTTTCTGGGAATTGCGCTGCAAAACGTCCTCTGCTAGTCGATATTGTTGGGTGCTCTGCCGACGTATGCGCACTATTTTACATCTGATGGCGTTAAACTCAAACATGTTTTGAGCTGACAAGTTGAAAGTCATATCGAGATCACCTTACAGTGCTTTGTAGTTATTTTCTCGTTTGATTGTCCTCCAAATGTTGAGACAGTCCCCAAAGAGTAGGATGTTCAGCGCCAAAAGTCCCGCGAGGACGTTTACGAGTAATAAGAATGTGCCTGGTCCTAGTACCGAGCCTTGAGTGACGCCACAGTGAACCTGTATCAGGTCGGACAGGATGCTACAAACCCGCATATTCAAACGCCTTTGGAGTAGTGATGAATGTTCCCAGCTCAGGATAGGGTCACGGGCTCCATAGCCCCGCTTGTAAAACAGAATGCAGTGATCTAGACAATCGAAATCCTTTGAGGAACCATGGTAGGTGGCCTCGGCTCCTTCCCCTGCATGGGCTAACAATAGGCTCATGGTACATAAGCAGTTTTGCCATAATTTATGCTTCGATGATAACGTATGTTTCCAGATATATCACCTCACATCCCACTGGGGAAAAAACAAGAATCGGGAGCGCAGTCTTCGAGGATGGATTGCGCGGGGAAAAGCATGCTAAAGAAGCGGTCTGGCGAGCATATCGAACAGCTCCGTCGAAATTAGTGCAAACTGCAACAGATTGGCCCTGCTTCAGTATGAAATGAGCTTAACTGATACTGCCTCGACAAATCCAAAGAAATTCTTCACCTACGTTAAACGACGCTATAGTGCAAACTCGTCCATACAACCGTTGCTTCGAGGGGATGGGACCCACGCCTATAGCAACTATGACAAGGCATACGTGCTTTGTGAGCAGTTCTCAAACGTCATTGTTCACAAAACGTATAGGCCATTCAGAGAACTAGATTCAAGGGTCTTCAAGCGCTCTAGTATGCATGAAATTACTGTAACTGAGTCTCAAGTTCTCCGGTTCTTGTGAGAAGTGAACTCAGTTAAGGCTTCCGGGCCAGATTATTATCATCCAAAACTGCTGCATGAATTGGCAGTGGAACTCGATGGACCTCTGCCCTATGTGTTTCAGAAGTCACACAACAGCTGTATCTTACCTAGCAAATGGAAGAAAGCTGTTATCTGCCTTATTTGCAACTGCAGTCATAAAGACCTTCCGGCTACTTAAAGGCCTGTCAGCTTGACTAACGCGGTGGTTAAGCTACTTGAAAAATTATTGAGTTACAGTGGAGAACCAGTTGAATAGATTTAAACTGCTTAGCGTCGGGCAACATAGTTTTCACGAAGGCTTTTCGTGTCAAATGAACTCTCTGGTAGCTCGTGAGAGCTGAGCTGCAGCTGTAGACAGTGGATATGCAGTAGACGTTGTGTTCATTGCCTTCGCCAAGGTCTTTGTCACTGTTCCCCATTCAGGACTCTCACTGAAGTTGAGGTCTTTTGGAATATCTGGTCGCAATGTCCAGTAAATATCTGCTTTTTTGTATGGACGGGAACTGCGTATTCGTGCTGGATGCAGTCCTTCGTTTCGGCTAGTTGTCCTTAGTGGCGTTCCGCAAGATTCTGTCCTAGGTCCGCTACTGTTCTCAGTTTAAGTGAATGAGTTTCCGGGGGAGCTTGAGGTACCATCGCTCTTATTTGCTTATGACCTAAAGCTGCGGAATATTGTTGATATCCCTAGAGGTGCTGCGACTCTTCAACCAGCTCTGGATAGACTGGGAATGGTCTGTCTTGTGGCTGTTGCACATAAACCGGACAAAGTGTTCACTGCTGCTTATCGGAGCACCTGATTCCTCCACAAGTTATGTGATCAGTAGGAGTGAACTTCTCCACGTGACGCATCAGGTTGATCTAGGTATCGTCCATTATTCCACTCTACACAATGGAGACAACTGGAAGAAGACGGCTAGTAAAGGGTTCCTAATGTTATGTTTCATCCGTAGTTCTTTTGGGGCCCTAATCACTGATGTGTTTCTGAAGCTGTTCTCAGCGATCTTGCGATTCTACTTAGCATATTGCGTCTAGACCTGTCCACCAAAGTGGCACTAGAAAGGGTGTTGTGTGTCGGTACTAGGTTGGTCTAAGGGTTACGAGGACAAACGTAACCTGAATGCCTACCTAGTTTGGGGATGCATTCAATGCACTATCGAAGGATTAGAGGGGACCTAATCTGAACCTGCCGTATAATGACTGGGGTTGGCCCTGGTTTGTCCTGTCTATTTAATCCTACTAGATTTTCTGGTCTCCGAGGACATTGTATGAAACTAGACAAACCGCGGTCCGATTGATTTAGAACGAAGACACGGTTAACGCGTCGACTCATCAAGCGCTGGAACTCGCTTCCAGTAAATGTTATCAAGGAAGTTAAAGGGTTTGGGCGTCAACTAGATGCTCATGGATGGCAGCAGCAAACGTTTACTTTTTCCTGACTAACTCACATCTTCATACTTCGATGATATTTTCTGTATTTTTTTCTCACCACTGATGTTATCCTCTTCTTTCGACTGATTTCCCCTACTCTTCACCTTCGATTTTTCCTTCTCTCTTACTTCACGTAACTGTCATAGCCAGGACCGCTAATGCAAGGAACGTGGGCATTAAATTATTGAATCAAGACCAGAAAACAGTACAGGGTTAAGATATCTTTTCGGTAAAATCTCGTCAGACCCAAACTTTTACATGACACGGATTATGCAACCGTTACGGGATATGGTTTGCACTTACTGCGTGAGAGACTCCTTCTAATTCATTGAGAAGATATCTGGACTCAACTTTACCAACAAAAGGATGATATCTTTTGATGCCCAGTCGCTGTTTACAAACATTCCCCTGCTCGAAACGGTGGAGTACGTGTGCGAGTTGACCCGGCAACTACCAATATACGCTAACTTTCCGGAGGATCTGCTAAAGGAGATACTATTTCGCTGCACGTTAAATGTTCAGTTCATGTTCAGTGGTGAGATGTACCGTCAAATTGATGGAGTGGCCATGGGATCTCCTTTGGGGCCGTTGTTGGCTGATATCTTTATGGCGAAATTAGAACATGGCCCACTCAGGACGCACATTTGTGGAACTGAAATGTACATACGGTACGTCGATGACACCTTCGTGCTTTGTGAATCCGAAAAGCATGCAGAACAGTTGCTGAAGGCCTTTAATGATGCACATGATAATCTACGCTTCACCTGTGAGCACGAAAATAAAAACCGTTTACCTTTCTTGGATGTAGAAGTCATCCGCAATTCGGACGGCTCATGTAACAGAAAGGTATACAGAAAGCATACGTGGACTGGACAGTACACTAACTTTCACAGCGCGGTGCCTTTACAGCACAAGAGGAGTTTAATCCGATCTCTTGCCTTCAGGGCGAGCAGTATTTGCACTCCGGATACCGTCAACAAAGAGCTACAGAGAATCAGGGACGCCCTTCGTGAGAATGGTTACCCCGATAAGTTTATCATGAAGCATATGAAAGAACGCAAGCGAAAGCCACTTAGAAGCATTGCTCCCA